TTAAAATCTCCCTAAAACGAAGAGTATAGGAAAAAAGATTAAGGTTAAGGGTTCAAGAGAATACAAGAAATCTAAAAGATAGGCAGAATGAGTATTATCAGATAAATAAATAATGATTTAAATGGAAAGAATAGATTTAGAATTAATAGAAAAGGAATTTGGCGAATTTTATATGGAAGATACCGATTCTTTATCTCTTCCTCAAAGAATAATGAAAATTATAAAAGGTGTTTCAATAGACACTATTACTATTAACAATCTTAATCAAAATTAATTGAATATTGAGAGAGAAAAGTATGAGATATTACTATTATAATTAAGAAAAATTAACCTCTAAGAAAATTGTGAAGTTGTAGAAGAACTTAAATAACTAATCAGTCAGATCTAAATGGTTGTTAAAATATTGAGAGTTTCTTTTAACCTAGACCTAGAAATTTTCCAAATGCCAATCTTTAAAAGAGTTAAAGAATTAAAACAAAAATTTGATAAATTTAACACAAAATATGATGATAAGAACAAAGATGAGAAGAAAATTGTAGAGGACGAAAATTATGTCCAAAACAAAATTAGAACAAATTTATCTATCATTATTAGCATTCTAAAAATATTACTAAAGAGAACAAGTTAAGTGAAGCAAAAGTTGAACAAATTGCTTTAAAATGTTACAAATTTTACTCTACAAGAGTGTTACGATGAAATGTATACAAGTTTTTCAAGTTGGTTTTAAAAACATTTAAACAAAATTAAGGAATCGCTATTCACAACTGCTAATATATAATAATTTGAAAAAGAGTCAAGTTAAGAATACTTTTTAAGAATTTAGAACAACATATTGTCTTGTGTAAATTAATCAGACAACAATAATAGTTAATCAACGAATATTGTTGATTTTCTCTATAAGCTAATGGCTGAAACAAAAGAAAAGTTAAAAATATCTAAATGCGAATTCTAGGAAATTTAATTTAATCAAGATTATCTAGTTCAATTAACTGAATAAATATACCTACAAGAGAAAGTTGAGGAAAATGAAGTCAAAGCTATGGATTAATTCTCTGTTGATTATTAAAAAAATGATGAATGGAAATTTAAATAGGGTTTAGTATTAACTATAATTTAGATTTCGTTGAATAGCTTCACAGAAACAATTACTCGATTTTGTTAAAAAACTCTCATTTAATTATGGATCTTAGAAAAAGATTAAAGAGTTAGAAATTTATAAAAAATTAACACGTAATAAGTTTATAGATGTAAATTTTGTAGAAAGATTGGTAGACTTAACAAGATAGAATTGCAGGAGAAATGTAAAAAATGTTGAGTCGAATTGATTTTTGTAAGAATAAATTACCCAGGAGGCAAATCTTAACTAAAGAGAGCTATAATTGAAAGAAATGGATGAAACAACTCAGCAATTAGATGAATACATTCAAAATATCAGTGAAATGGGCTAATAGCTCAGATTGATCACCGATTTTGTAAATCATATCAGAAAAGGTTTGTTAAGAGTGGAGGGGAAAATTAATGAGATGAAGAAATAATTAAACAGCTTGAGTAATGACATCAAATTTCTTAGAGGAAAATCAGTTAAAGAGCTTTTAGATATTAGAAAATCGAAAGTATTGAAAGAAGCAGCAAATAAAAATGTTAGGTCAATTTATGTGCCAATAAAAACTTTGGAAATATCTCATAAATTGGAGAAACTGAAAAAAAAATCCAAATTAAATGTTTAAGAGTTATATAAAGAAGGAAATTAGGAAGGACATAAATAAGAATATAAAGAAGAACAGGAGGAAGAAGATGAGAAAATAGATGAAGAAGGATAGATAGAAGGACATGAAGAAGAAGATTAGGAAGGACAGTTAGAAGAAAATGAGGAAGTATATGAGTAAGAATATAAAGAAAAACATGAAGGAGATGAGGAAGAAAAGACAAGTATTTTGATGAATTTTTAAAATTTATATGATAAAAATGGGGAAGTTAATGAGTTTTTATTAAATGGTAAAGAAACAGTATTATTAATTCATGGCACAGCTGGATCAGGCAAAAGTACTGCAGCTAAGTAAATAGAAGAATTTATTTGGAAATTACATGATAATAATTAAAAAATTGGCAAAAAACTACTAATACCAATTTATATTTCATTACCTTCCACTAAAAAATCCTGTGTTTTAAGCAGTAGAGGAAGCACTTCATCAAGATCAGTATGGTTTTGATCTGCTCTAATTGAAAGAATGTAAAGAGATGTTAGAAAAGAAAGATTTCCTGTTTCTATTGATAATGGACAGTTATGATGAGATGAAGTTAGAAAATATTTAAAAAACCCTATATATCAATAATAAACTGAAATAGAATTGGTCAAACCCTCTCTTGTTATTTTTACTACAAGAAGTGAAATTTTTACAAGTAGTAATTATTCTCAATGGTTTGAACCTGAAAAGAAGGAAAAATTAAAAGAAATCAAACTTCGAAAGTTTGATTTTAAGTAAATGCAATAATATCTAGAAAAATTTACAATTTAAAGTGTTAAAATGTAGATTTTTGAAATTTATGAATGGTAAACACAAATTTCAAAAAGAGGAGTGATTGATATCAAAAAGTTTGAAATTTTTTGGGAAAAATTGCAATAATTTCTAAAAAAAGAAATATCAGGGATGAAAGGGGAGAATCTATTGAATTAACAATCAATAGATAAAATTTAATCGTTTTTGAAGAATGATGGGTTTATATCTATAAAAAATAATGATGCTTTAAGAAGTCTGAGGATAAATCTCCAACAACTGTGGAGTGTAGAAAAGTACAACAAAATGATAAGGTAAATCAATTTAAATAAATTGGTCATAACTCCTTATAAGATGGAAATAGTAGTTTAAGTGTTGCCTGAAATGGTTGTTAAAGCAATTAAAATAAAATTTTATAAAGAATTTTCCAAATATGCTTAAAGAGTTCTACCAATGCAAATAGCTGATCAATAGAAAAGCCTATTGGCACCAAACAATGGAGATGAAAATTTTTAGAAAGTTGTTTAAGATAAAAATTTGAAGCTACATAGTTTGATATCGAAAATTTAGAAAAACTAAACTATCAAGAAATTGCTTTCAAATTTTGGGATAAAATAGAAGAAAATTCAACTCTAATAAAAGCCGAGATTTCTCAAGAAAATATTGGATTAAAGACTTAACTATTGAAGATATTATAACAAAACCACTAGGAATTAGATTATTTATTAGATGGACTTGCAATTCAATATGAAAAAAAGAGAGAAGCTGTTATTAAAATAATTATTGATGCATTAAAAGATTTTAATCTTACAAGCTATGATTTTTATGATGAGTTTATAAATCAACATCATTTAAAATAAACAGAAAAAGAGAAAAAATTAGGAAAATCTATTAATATTGATCGGTTTCTACATGATTTAAAAAAATATTCAACTAACCTTGCTAAAGCTATGAACATGAACGAAATGACTTAAGTGTAATATTAACAATAAGGGTTATTGTATAAAGATGAAAGAGAAAATGAAAAATGGCTCAATAATTATTTTAATGATGATGATTAATTTGGATCTTATAGAAAAGATATACGAAGTTGTTTTCTAGTTTAATCAAATGGTGCTAATTTTTAATTTACCCATAAGTCAATATAGGAGTTCTTGATTGCAGCTGATTGAGATGAGGTTTTAGTTCAATCAAAAAATATTGATACATAAATATTGAATATTATTATAGAAACATTGTCAAAAGAAGAGAATTAAAATTAAGATTGTTTAGAGTTTCTAAAAAAACTCAAAAAAAACAATTCCTAGAATTATAATTAAATTGGAAATTTATCTCTTTTGTAAAAATAAAAATAATTAGATGCTTTTGAATAGACTATTAATTAAATTACTCGTTTAATTTTAATCATAATAGAACATGATTTTCATTCTATTAATTATTCCACTGAAATATACACTGAAAGTAGATAATATCTCATTTAAAAAATTTAATAAGAGGTTAAAATAATTGAATTTTTGAAATTCTTAAAACATCTTACAAAAATTGATAACAATTTTATTGTAAGTGGATCTAATGCACTTAATATATTGGTTGAAATGAAAATTATTCTAAAAAACTAAAATTTTGAAAATATAAGAATAGAAAATACTAATTTATTTGGGGGTAATTTTGTTAAATGCAACTTATCTAAATCTTAATTTAAGAATGTGAATATCAATGGAATCAATTTAAATGGATCTTAATTATTTGGATGTAATTGGTAAGAATTAAAAATAAACGATTTATATTAATTGGATGGTCATGATGATGTTGTCAGATCAGTCTGTTTCTCTCCTGATGGAAATACATTAGCTTCTGGTAGTGATGATTAGTCTATCCGTCTATGGGATGTCAAAACAGGATAATAAAAAGCCAAATTAGATGGTCATAGTAATGATGTCTTGTCAGTCTGTTTCTCTCCTGATGGAAATTCATTAGCTTCTGGTAGTTATGATAAGTCTATCCGTCTATGGTATGTCAAAAAAAAGTATTGTTCAGATTATAGATTTATAGAAATTTAGGTTAAAATACAAGATATCCTTTTTTTAACACTCCTTCGCAGTAAAAGAATATTATTTAAAATTTAGACACATCTAATATTATGGTTTACCCAGACTTTAATTTATCAAGGTTTAAGAGAGTTTTTTATAAAAAACCGTTTCCTTTTAGGAGAATTATTGGAGTAACACTTGATTAACCTATTTTAACCCTTAATTTAAATCTATTTTCATGTACTTCTTGTGTCCAATATTTGTTGATAGAGTTCTATTTTATAGTTTTTTTCTTTTTTAACAATCTTGAAG